TCCTGCTGGCAATCGAGAAAACTGCTGCCAAAAATGCGTGAAGGCAGCTCACGGCAGCCTAGACCAAAAGATCTCACGTTTGTAGCATTTACTACGTGCCAACACTGGATTGTCACAAGTTCCCATGGGATCAAATATAAACGGCTTTCTCTATCTCCTAAGCAACGTGTGCCCTGCAGTTTACAGGGCATAGCCACTGGTAAAAGAAGCTAACAAACAAACAAAAAAATTACAAAACTCTGGTGACCATGAAACATAGACCATATTATTGTTTTTGGCAATTGAACACCACGGAAGTCCAGGTTTCTTTTCTGCACTAAAAACCCATGTTACTTACAAATTTTGCCTCCACATGTGCTTTAGCATCAGTTCTAATGGGAAACTCCGTAGGCTTTGGCAGCTCTTCTTGAAGCAAATTCAGCTGAAGTGGGGAGCTGCTCCGTGAGCTACTAAGCAGTGGGGCCTGGTCACACTGGCCCTCTTGCTGTTCTTCAGCGGACATGGCAGGAGAGGCTAGAAAGGGCTGATCCACAGAGTTCAGTGCTACTGGTGATGGAGCAGAGGGAGAGGGAGCTGGAGGTAGCGTAGTGCATGGATATGAAGAGGAGGGATAAGCATACTGAGGGATAGGAAGAAAGCCAGACTGAGGCATCTGAGTATACATGGGGAAACTACGAAAAATTACAGCCGTAAACGTGCCTATGTTTGGGGGAGAAAATGCTGGGAATGACCGCGCATCACAGCATAGTTGTGATGATGACATGGGCTCAGGTTTTAGTGAGTGAAGGGAAAGCTCCTCTGCTACAGGAGAGCCTGGAAAACCGGCTAGTGGATCAGAATAGACAGGAAAATCCATCGGAGGAAATGCGTTTGTACTGGAGAGGCTCAGACAGGACACTTCTGAGGGAGAGAATGACTGCTTCTGAATTGTTCTCTTCTCACATGGAAAAGTATTTCTATTTTTACTAGAAGAATGGCTATCTGAGGACTGTCTCTGAGGTTTCTGGCGCTTGAATTTTCCACATTTGCCTTTTTTACAGATAACTGGGCTCATCTGCTTTGAAGGGGAATCTCCTAAGGAAGAAGAAAGACAGACACATTCACTGACATGACAGACCTGGGGGGGGAAGAAAAAAAGGAGAAAAACATCCAGGTAACTGAGAGAGCGTGGCTTATTCAGAGAGCTGACTTTCCTCTGGATAAAATTCTTTCATTCACCACAGTGAAGGACTTGCTGAATCCACATTTTCCTTCATATAATCAGTTTTCTTATTGATCTTTCTGGCTTATCCTGATCAGATCTTTTACATTCCTTCAACCGGAGGCATTAAACTACTTGGGACTTGCAGGACTTATTGCAATAATTAGGTGCTTTGTGAAGAGTCTAGGATACCAACATCCAAGATGGAGTAGACCCTTCTGTGTGGGCAACACTGCTGCCAAGTCTTGGCAGCTCTAAGGAAGTATTCAGTCCACAGCCATAGTAAGATACTCACTAAATCACACAAAGGAGAACTAGACTCCCATGCTCAGCCATTTATTTCACAAAGCTGCTGCCTACCTTGACCACAGGAACGTCCATTGTTACTTCTGCTCCCCTGCTGGAGGTAAGTCCTAAACGGAGAGAGCAAGATCCTCTGGCGGAACTTGTCAACGTAGTTTTGCTCCTCTTTCTGAGTGTGGGCTGACAACGTCTCTTTTGTTAGCCCAAGTGGCTTTAATTCCTCGGGGACCATAATGAGACTCTGAGCATTCACAGGAGGCAGCTCAATGTGTTCACTTCCAACAGTGGCATCCTCCATTGTAGTCACTTCTTAGAACAGGGAAGAAAAGAAACTATTCACTCTCTGCTCTGGCATTCTGGTGTCAGATGCCCCAACGCAGAGCGCCACACAGAAAATAATCATGTCTGAGTTACTCAAACACAATTTAAAGTCATGGAAGCACTTTTCTTCCTTCACACTTTCTTAGTCCAACAGCAGTTAGATAATCATGTTTTTATTCTGCTTTCTACATTACAATGAATAAAACTGGCCCATTATGCATTTTTATTTTCCTCCTCAAGTGCCAAAAGTGTATTGTAAAAGGGGTGGGGGGAAAGAATAGCGACCTCTGTTAAAAATAGGTTTTATAAAAATATTGTAAAAGTTTCCATCCCCAAATTTTCTCCACAGTGCCCCTAGAAATAGCTTAATTATATTTTAGAGTTCATATTCATGAGAGCACATCTGATGCGGAGAAAATCTTCACGCTAGTTATTTTAGTCTGGAAATATCTTTAAACATCAATGAGCCCAGTTAATATTTTGCAAGTGTGAACAGTACCTGATTCAGGGTGTGGAACATGCACTATAGTGCTGCTGTAACTGCACTGGCTGGTGACAGACACCACACTTGGAGCCTTGTTGGTCAGAGTCAGGTCCGCCAAAGGTGTTCCCACCACACCTGTGGTCATCTGCTCTTTCAGAGTCTCTTCCAGGTCAGCAGATATCAGAGTTCGGGAATTAACTGATGAAAGAACAGCAGTGTCTACTGGTAAGCGAGAAGAATTCTACATAGGATTTCATTGAAAGCACTACAACAGCTTCTAATTCATCAAGTCTGACCTGGTTCAAGAAAGAACCACTCCTATGCAGACTATTAAATAAGAAAATTTTGTATACAAACGAATAAAACTTCCACATGATGGTAATGTCAGCACACACTAAACGTGGTATAAAACAAGTGAGTGACACAAAGTTCATTTAGCAACGATGAACAATAGATCTTTTGATGCAAACTACATTCAAAGACTTGATTAATATTAGAGCTTATGTTTAATCCAAAGACCTGGGCATGGGAAGTAGATAGTTCTTTTAATCAAAATATTTGTGCAGTTAGCATGACTCAGCAATTAAAAAACCAGAAAGAAACCTTGGAACATATGACAGTGGCATATCAAAAAATAAATGTTGGGCTAACAAAACGTTTCCATTATGATTGTCAATGTACTTATGTTACCTTCCAATGCCTTGACTTCGTTCTGGCTTTGCTGGGCTTGCTTGTCATCTCCTGAAGATGATGATGACGATGATGTATTTGTAGATTTACATTTCCTTTTCAAGGCTGGAATACTGCAGCTCTCTAGATATCTGAAATATGAGCATACCACAAGAAGCTCTCCCTACTCTGTGTTTTTTCAGTTTGGAGAGACAAATATTTAAACAATCCAAAATGGAGATCGAGATGCTGTTAACTAGTATTTTAAATTCACTACAGAAGATCTGGACACACAGTTGCCTTCCCAAGGGTATTTAAAATAAAACCTATCAACTACGTTTTGAAAAAACAGGCATTGCATATACAAGGTTAAAAATACCAACGTTTTATAAATTGTATCAACCTCCTGTTTTGTTCAGATGTTCTCAAAGCATATGTCAAGACGACAAAGTATCATGCCCATCATAATTCTCTTAAACTGCTAGTGTGTCAATGGTGAAGCTACCAGTAGACAGAAGTCAACGGTTACAAACAGCATCTTAAGCTCTAAATTCTTCATTGACACATAATTCAAGTTCACTCTGATTAAGTAACCAAGCTGGCTTCTAAAATACGTCTACTTACTGGAGACTTACGTTCAATGTTACATAGTTTAAAATATTTTAAAGCTCCTTCCCTCATACATACAATTGTTTGGAGTAACCCCTTTCTTTGCAGTTATTGATACATTTACTTTTTCTGTTCGAAGGGCATACACACTTCAGACTCTACAGGAGAAATTTAACAGTAAAAATACTCTTTAGTTCTCCCAAGATATTAGGGCCATCGAAATGATGCTTGCCCAAGACCAAAATTAGAGTTTAACTGTAGTCCCTTCCCACAAAAGGAAAGCACAAAATTCAGGAACCACATACATAACTTCATATGCTTCACTACAGTGGTCAAAAGCTTCTGTGCACCTGATAAAGCAAATGGAGTTTCTGAATTTGGATTCTGCCTGATTTTTGACAATAATTTTTTTCCTTTACACTTCTAAATATCCAGTAATATGATGCATTTTATCTAAATGTAGTAAATAAATAATTTCAGTCAAGCGTTGTATTATGAAGGATGTTTCAATCAGTTAATACCTTAGGAGGTGGTGTACAAGTTTGTATATAGGCATATATAACACTTGACTGAAAAATACAAAGCTAGAATTTTCACTACTGTTAACAGTATTTTTTGCTCACATTCAGTTTTCTTGAGAAATGTGATAAGGATCCTAATATATTTTATACAGGAAACATTCCAAACAATTCCAAATTTATCTCACAACTCAACACCCAATCAATTTAGACTGATGCAAATTGCTTAGATAGCTACCTTCCCCTAATTAATCGTAAACTTATCACTAAAATCACTTCATAGTTTACTACCTGATGATACTATCAACACAATTGATCTGCTGATACGATGGAACATGTGGAGTCTTCTTTGAATTATCATAAAATGCATTGTCTGGTTCTTCAGTGCTATCACTTGTCAATGCTTGGAGAAAGCAGGAAGCAGTGTGCCTTTTCCCTAGAAAAGAAGAAAACCTCAAAGGCACCTCTCAAAGGCATCTAAGCACTACCCCAAGATACTTATACAGGGATATATGGCCTATGCCAGCACAGCTCTCGCTAGTAAATTATTCTCCACTGTCATCCCAATTCACGTATTTGGGAGAGGGGGGAAGACAGAGAATGCCTAAGAAGAAAAAAAGAAGTTAACCTTCAACATCCACTCAGAATAACCTAGTGAACACAAAGAAAACATCATAGAAAATACATTGCACTTAAGACACTGACTGGAGCTGAATAAAACTAAGAAGTACAAGAGAGTTGGGAGATTCAGGCATCAAACCTTTCCTAAATAGGTTTATAAGTCAGTATTTCCAAGGCTGCCAATTTTAAACACAGCTACAACTACTATTACTCTTCTCTTACTTGTACTCTTACTTCTTTTCTACAATTACTATTACTCTTCTTACAAATTGCAGAATCTGACCTGTTATTCAACAGAAATTTACAGCTTCTTATAGCATAGACATTCTGGTCACAGTAGATTCAACCTTAGGCCTCAACATTCACAGTGCAGTCCTGTTATCAACAAAACCTGCAGTTAAGTCTAACTTTGGCAGAGAATATCAGAGTCCAAAACATTTTGGTATAGATTCCTATGATCTTTGAGGAAGATTTTTCTGTGTATGTTTGTGATAGGCACCAACTGGAAACACTGGAAACAATCTTAACTAGTGCAATATTAAGCACACAGTAACTAAATCACTACTTCGGTGGTAAGTGTTTTTCAACCTATGGGCCACGGGCTACTTCCAAAACCAATATCCACAAAGGTAACTAAGGGAAGCTTCCACAGTAGACTTATATTCACTACAGATAGGTCTGCATTTTCCCTGCCTCCCCACTTTTTTTTTTTTTTTAATTTATTGACTTAGAAAAAGGGACAGGTATGTTTATCCATATCTAAATGAACTATTAAAAGTTACTGCATCTGCTGCACTTTTTGTCTCCCCCTCCCCCCCCCAAAAAAATCACTTTCCAGATCTGAGCCATGACTAAGAGACTGTCTGAAGTGCTTCAGTGTAATAGCAGTTGGCCAAAGTCATGGTTACAGGTCTAAGGGAGTTCACGTTAACTTAGGGATCATCGTTACATTAACTCACCTCCTAGCATTTCTGAACTTGTAGCTTGTTCATTTCCATTCTGCAGCTTGCTCCTTGATGCAATATACAGCTGTTGTCCCAGACTCTTTATTCGGTTCACATCTGCACATACTTGTTGCAATGTCATCTTGAGATACAAGAACATGTGAAGTCAGAATAAAACAAATGAAAGGAGGCCATAAGAGACCATTAAGTTTTGTGTTCTACTGTTAGCCTATGCCTGGTATCTGCTGACATCTGTAACTTTAATGAATGCAACTATCATGACCAATTTAATTAAAGTAACTATGCTAAAGCTGAAACAGCCTCAGCATTTGAATAGTTTTATACCAATGCAAGCCTCGAGAGATGAAATAAGCCAATGACTTACCCAAGAGCCTCACAAGGAAACTTGGTAATTTGCAATGCTTGCTTTAAGACAGGATTGTTTCCACTGTCTTCTGTAGCATTCTACAGTGCATCTTTAGTCTCCTTTTTAAACCAACAGGAAAAATCCCTATCAAACAGATACCAACCCCCACCATGTGCAGCAAATACTCTCTCTAGTTGCATGGTTCTTCCATTTTTTTCCTCCAAGTCCACTCATTCTTTGAGAAGGCTGATATTTGAGCAGTTATTCAATTTACTTTACCGTACCACTAAAATAGTTATCCCCTCATTTTAGTCAGGCAAATTTAAAAAACAGAACACAGGCATACATACAGAAAAAAGTCGCAACTGCCCAATATAAGCACATTTAGTCTGAACACGGAGGTGTATCTTCCCACTTCAATAACATTCACAATGAGTAATGTGCATGTACACAGTAAGAATTTACATTTTTTAAACCATATTTTTACTACAGGCAGGCAATACCACATTTATAGACTTACCGGTTCTTGTATCTCCTCCGCACAATTCCCATTGGAGTCACTTGAAGATGCTATGCTGACATAGTGTTCATAAGAGCCATTGCTACCAAGGCTTCCATAACCACTAGAAACATTGCTATGAACTGGCTGTAAGTGGGGGAAAAAAAATAAAAATTCATCTTCTTAGAGAACACAAAGAAGGGAAACATGGCAACATACTTTGCAACACTGAGAACTTCAAGTAAATGAAGAAAATTTAGTGAGAAGTCAGTATTGTTTTGGGCTCCACCACTTGCTTGGGAAAAGTTCTCTGTCATACTGAAAGTTGTTTTGGGATGCAGATTTATCTTTCAACATAAAGACTTGGAGGACTTGGAAAATATGTCAAACAAAGTCGTTTTTCTAATCAGCTGGGTTACCCAGAATCTTACTTTTAATCCTGGCACGCAAGCCCATATCCAGTTATAATTGGAGATACTTTTCCTTCAATTCTCCAATAATTTTCTGGCAGACCTTTTAAAAGAGATTTGATCAACTCCAAAGTAGTTTCCTAACAGGCCTCAGTTTCCTTAGCCTCTCACTCAAAAGGCTAACCAGTGTTTGGAAATTCCTTCATCTTCTTTACCTGCAGGAGAAGCTTGTAAATTTGTCCTTGCAATTCTCTTATCTCTTTCTCAACACTGCTCATTTCTTTACTTCTTGCAGCAAAAACATCTTCATTCAAAGGGCTTCTATAGAAAGTCAACAAAATTTCAGTACTAATTCTAATTTAATGAAGAAAAAGTAACTACAAACAGAGGTAGAACAGGTTTACAAAATAACATCAGCTCTTCTGCTTTACAAGGCACATTGATATTTTGTTAACAAAATGAATAAATTAGGAGGGCTATTAGCAAAAGTGATCCAGGCAGGGGAATACCACTAACTAGAAACATAGTGACAACTGTAATCTATATATATTTTTTATTTTACAGTCCCATTATATGTTTTCAAAAGTTCCCCCACCTCCAAAGCAATGGCCAAAGGACTAGACAGGATGTACCGTTTAGCATTCCTGATACAATAGTTTTGAATGCTGTCTTAGACGAACAGACTGCAAACAACATACTCTCCCTAAACAGCATCTTTCTTTGCCACTGTTGGAGACTGAATGACATGGACCGTTTGTCTAACCTAGTCAAACGTTTCTTATGTCCCTAAGTTCACATCTAAGATCTGAGAAAATAAGATCTGAGAAAAAGTCATACAAAAGCACATAGATTTTTCTTCCTCTCTCTTCCCTTACATTTATTGGACTTATGTTCCACTTATATTTTAAATATAAATACTTGCATTCCCATCTCTTAATAATATAATGCTCTTTTTTAAGACGAAGACTTAAGTAGCAGCTACTGCACCTTCCTCTAAACTAATCTGAATCAAGCTACAGCAAAGCCACAAGTAAAACAAATCAATCGTTTGACCTCCGATTATGTTCTCCAGTGGGATTTGGTTCCCTGAATCAACACAGAAGGATGACATCTGTTCCACGAACAGCACTGCTAGGGTAGTGGGACTGTGATACAAGAGCAGCACATCATGTGAAGCCCCAGGATTCAGGGAAGCCAGTATATCAGCACAGTGGCATCAGCAAATGTTGACAAGCATCTACCCCTCTGTCTCCTTCACTTGTAAGGCAAATTCACACCCCAGAAAATCTTGAATGAAAAATCATTTTGCCAAATCAAAATACATCCCAGAGGACATTTCCTATAAGAGAAACCAGATAAGAGGGAGGTATCAGGTAGCCATATTTCCAAATCTCTTGGGAACTCAAGAGAAACACCTGAAAAATGAAGAGCAACTTGCACATCCAATACCAATTCCATTTGCTATAAGAGACTGTACAAAATCTAATTAGTTTTAAACATCAAGTGAACATCCCAAAAGACGACAAGCCAGAAGGCAACTTTATCTATGTGTCTGTCATTTAACTTTTTCGTGAGCAAATCAGGCATGAATGCCGACTAATGATTCTTTAAATCTACTTTTTCCATTCCTTTCCAACTTTTATTTAGCTGGTCTAACACTGATATGTTGATTTAAACATGTGCATTAGCACAGTAGTTGAACATTAACCATGTGTACAAATGTATGCTTAAAAAAAAAAAAAAAAAAGGTTGGCTTTGACTTTTACTTGGGAGAGATTTAATCATTTTCATACTGAATAAACAAAATTAGCGTTTTTCTGAAGGAAGTGCAAGACAGATGCCAGATGGTTGTTCCAGACTGCACTAGCAATATAATGGCTCTACTTCAGTACTGTGACTATGTTTTACTTTATAGAATATTCAGTGAAGAGCACCGCACCTAAACAGTTCAATTCTACAACTGACTTACGTTCGGACTTTGTGTCGGCCAATGACGAACACTACTTTCCTGCTCCACGGATTCACAAAACTAGACCAGCTGGTATCCAGTATGACATAATCTCCATTTTGAGTACAAAATCTAATAGGTGAATGTTCAAAAGGGGGCTGGCCAGCAAACTTCAGGACTGAACAAAAACAACAACAACAAAAAAAACCCCACAGAGATAAGGTTTAGTTTACATTATGACACAGCAGTGGAAGTACAAACACTAAAGACTGGGGTTCTGTAAACCTCTGATTCAGAATTTGCTTTGATCTCAGACTTGCTGCTTTAGTTCATTTATTTTTGTCTAGGCTGCAGATCAGTCACAGGACAAGCAATATGATAATGGAAAAGCGTTAAAACACAGTGAAGTTCGTGGTAAGTCATCAGTACTTACTTTTCTGGTGAACAGCAATCATCAAAGGACGATCTTCTGGGTGCAAATACATCAGTATGGATGTTCCAATTAAATCTTGAGGCAAGTAACCCAACAGAGGCACTGCTCTGAAAATTAAATACATTATAATCGATTACAATATAGTATTGAATATTTACATCCTTAACCCTTTGCCTGGCAGTTAAGTCCACAGATATGATCTATGATGGCGTGATCTAAGGCTAATGTAAAACATACAAACACCAATGACAGAAACATTTCTGAGCCTGGAGATTTAACAGATTTTTTCAGAGTCACAAGCAGTGTTGTGCTTACTGTAGATGACAAAGAAGAAATGGAATCACGAAGAAAGAGATCACAGGCAAAACGTCAGTAAGAAACCCGACATGGGTGCTGCCAAGTGTGCTGAAAAAACACTACCGTGGTTTTTCAGGAGATAGCTTTAGTCTGGCCAAATTCACGTGATGCGGCTCAGTACCACTGTATCTCTGCGTTGTGATCCCCAGAGCTTTGTGTTATATGTTTCTTTCCACTGTCCTGATTATCACAAGTCCCCATTACCTTATATAATGGAAGCTGACTGTAGTTCAGTTTAATTTCACGTTTTTGGTCAACAAAGGAGATTATCTCTTTGGAATTCTAGATGTTTTCCAATGAGTAGACTGACACAAAAAATTACTGAAATTTAATAGGATTTGTTATTAATTTTAACTTTTGCAAAGTGCATAGTCCATACGCTTTACTTGTGTTTCCAGCTGCATCACCACAGAATTTTTTACTACCTCTCCACACACAGCTCCCAGTACCGAAGACCCAAATCTCACCTGTCATCTATCTCAAGAAAAATACATCCTGGGGTGTGAGTGGTGGTGAAAATTCTTTTTTCCATAGGAATTCGAGGAGCTAGTCAAAAAAGATATAATTATCAAAACACAAAATATGCGTTATTAAGACAGAAAATCCAACCGTTACTTTTGCTCATGATACTATATTATGGGCTCCTGAACTTTTGAATTCCTCATTGCTTTCTGACTAGTAACACAAAGAAACATTACAAACTATTAGGCAATACAGATTTCTTCTACTCTCCCCCTCCCCCCTGGAAAAAAACAAGTTGTGGGAAGGGTTAATTTCGGGACCCAAGTGTACATGTGTGTGCATACACACACACAAACTGGAACTTACATGGGTGAGACTACCCAAGCACAATTTCTAATCAGAGCAGCTAATTTTGATATACTGTACATTTTCCTATTGGCTTTTTTTTTTCTTGACATTCCTCACTTGCCTTCATATCCAGAGTGAATTTTCTCAGCCAAAGCTAAACAGCAGGATTCTGCATCCATGTGAGCAGAAGTGCACACATGGACCAAGTATGGGGTGATTCGGAAGGGGTAACAATGCATTTCTTGTTCTCGATCTTTACCACGCCTGAGGAAAAGCAAAAAGAATCAATGCACCGGGGTGCCAAGACTCTGATGCTTTACACCAACAGCCCAGCGCTGCGAAAGCACAGAGAAGTTGTGCAAAGAAATTACGCAGAACACACAGAACCAGATGATTAGAAAGAACCTCCTGAGGCCCTACGTACAACCCTTTGCAATCACAGGTCAACATTCTACAGTAGAGTGATCTCATTCCCTTTAAAACCAAGTAGGTGTTTTGCCTCCAATACTCATATTGAAAGGCTGTTCTAGAATGCCATTACTCTAGCGGTTAAAAACCTTGTTCTAATTCTCAGACCAAAGGTATTCATGAGAACAACTCATTCGATCTTGTGCTGTTCTTCAAGTTAAGTAATTTGTTTTCTGTCTGTTGTTTACTCTGTTCCATGGCTAGGCAAGAACTCCAATAACTCTTAGGTTTTGTTTCACTGACCTACGTAAGCAAGACTCTTCTACCCTCAGTTCACAAATAGTTGCCATTCTTTGACCGTCCAGTTCCCATATGGGGTTGTCTTCCTAGCACATGGGTGAGCAGTAATGGCACGCAGCATTCCAGATGAGATCTTAAACAGGGCTTTATAATTACTGCATTAACGTTTCCCTATTTCTACTGCAAGTGCTTCTTCACCTGGCATAGGTTAGGAATACAGCATCTTACTCAAATCTGACAAAGATTTGAGATAAATTTTTGGACATCATCACGTTCTCAAGGTATTTTCCTACTCCACGCTTAGTTTAGTGAAATGTTTCTAGAGAGAAGTTAGTGTCGTAACGACGACTTTTGACAGTTCCTCTTCTTTAGGGAAAAAGAAAACAAATGGAATTTTTACACACCAGGAAGAGGGTAAACCACAAAAAAACCTATTTTCATAATTATGTCCACTGTGTGCTTGTGGAAAAAATATTTTTATTCATGAAGCCCGCTTTATTTATATTCCTGCTTTATTTATTCCAAGTGGCTTCACACAATTCAAGAGACTGAAAGGTGATTTTAGATCTCAGGTTTTTGAAACAAATGAATGTTATCATTGATCTATTATAGATGGAGTATGTATTATATCTGCTCAAAAGCAAACAGTTCTTACTGGAATCAGGAGACCATCTCAGTCTGGACCAGAACTGCACTGGAGATTACAAGGCTATCTATTTATCTTTTTCTTCATTTAGCATTAAGATGAAGTAGGCACAAAGCAACACGCTACATCCATAGTGACCGGAAGCAGTATCTCACGATTAAGTTCTTGCATTGGGACTTCGGTGATTTGAGTTTCTGTCACTACCTAGGCCACAAACTCCCGAGCAACCTTAAGCAAAACACTCTTTGCTTCCACTCTCAAATTTTAAAAAGGGGCACAGTACTTTTTGACAAGATCATTCCTCTTCTGCTCAGCAGTACCGAAGGAAACAGAAGTCCAAAAGAAACATGTTTGAACAGTTTTCCTTTTGTCCCCAGGCAAGTTTAACGACTACTAGTGGAAAAATACGTGAACTGAATGCCCGCTGTGAAAGCATAGGCTGTACGTCCTACCGGATGCCAATTTTAAACACAGTAAGCCAATTTTGTAATGGAGTTTCATGAGCTCATATTGGTCAGTCGTAACACTGTAACACTGTTTCTGCCCAATACCCTTTCTGCTTCCTGTGCCCAGCCCTCACAAACGTAAGACTGTAAGAGCGTACTTGCCTGATCCTGCAGAAAAAGGATTTCACCTGGGCATACTCATACAGAGAAGCTAATAAGAAGAACATACATTGAAAGTATCAGTTAATATCCTAAAAAAAAGGTCACACCTATCAGAAGTATTTTAAACTCAGCATTCTCCAGGCTTTCTGAGCAGGTCTCACCACCTCCTCAATATTAGCTATTGAATCAGCTGTTCAACAGTCTGCTCCCACTTCAAATATTTCAAATATTTCTCTCTCTTCCCCAGCCCACTCACTCATGGAGAAACACCAATGGAGGAAACACGCACGATATTAAAAATGCCCAGTACATCACCACAGAACAGGAAAGGCTAACATTCCTGTCTTTACGAGCCACATACCAAAAAATATATACAGTCAAGAGCTGAGGGGAGAAAAAGGTCAGTAACAGTTCACAGCAAGAAGATAACAGCAGCTCCACAGGGGTCTCACTGCTGCGCTGGGTAGGCATAGGACTGGCTTCCAAAATTCTGGAATACCTGGCACGTTAGCGCTAGCAGCCTCTGAGGTCCCGCATCCTTCTGTAGCGGCACATTTCAGCTTCCCAGCCCTGAGGGAAGTTACAGCCCTGATGCTGTAACAGCGCCACCGCTAGGTGGACAAAGGACATAGCTTTGGCATGGGAGCTACACTTGGACGGCTCACAGGTTCAAAAGCCTCCATTTAGTCACATCCATCATAGTGACAGAACAGAATGCTATTTTTTACAGCTAAACACAATATAATTTCAGTATTTTTACTGAAAGCTCATCTTTATATAAGCTATCCTTTAAGCTCAATTTTCTGCTTCCTACTTGCTGCCTTCTGGCTCCTTGCTGAGTAAATAGCTGATCAGCTTAAAACTCATGTTCAATGAGCTATGTTCACAGGAGGGTGCAAGTGGACTATAAATTATACATTGGACCTACATATCAGAGCTAGATTAAAACATTTTAAACTGAAAATTAGCCCCTTGGTTTCTTAGAAAGAAAAAAAAGCCTTACCCCCTGAGCAGCAGTATTTGGAAAGAGTAAGGCAGTTTGTAGAAAAATGAAGCATCTGCCTTTTTTACCCCCAGTAACAGTTAAGCTGCTAGGAGACCCTAGACATAGCTACTCAGGTTTTCAACTGAAAAAGGAACAAGTATGGCCTATATATACTGCTAGCATAAGCATTTCAAACGAATGACCCTTCTATCCTCATTCTGCAAAGAGTGAAAGACACATAAAGCTATTAAGATCATTGCCAAGTCCCACCTGTTTGCCTTTCTGTGTTCCAAAGCGGCAAGTGGGACTGGTCGGTGTGTGTGTAGAACACACTGACATCCTGAGGGACAAGCAGCTCTACAAACCGGGAGGAATCCAACAGTTTTTTCTTACAGTTTAGAATGGATGCTGCCTGATCAGAAATATGCACTATTCGCCCAGAAAGCAAGGAAAACACAGCCACAAAGGTGTCCTGAAAAAACACACATTGTTAAAGGCAATTCTCTCCCAAAACAGCAGCAGCAGTATCAAAACGATTAAAAGAAAAACAAAACAAAACCAAAACACCCCCCCAAACCCTAACAAAAACAACTAAGACTGAGGTTCAGAAATGTGTTCTTAAGTTAGTTTCTCATTAAACTTGTGTGAGAGCTATTATCACCTCCGATGCTGCAGTATGGAGACTCGTGACCTGCAAATGCTAGTGAGACCACGACAACAAAACTGAAGTAGGTGCCAGAGATGCATGCTTTTTTCAGAAAGACTGGTTATCATTCCACAAAGATTTCTCCCCAAATTTTGGCGTATTCAAAACAATTTCACATACAAAAACATTCTGAGAACTTCTCAAATGAAAGTATTTGCAGTATTTCCAATTTGGTGTCTGACACCACTTAATCTCAGGAAACACTCTTTATTTCAAACAGAGCCAGAAAGCACGATGCATACTGCAAATCAAGAAAAAAAAAGCATTAAATAATCAAGGAGTGCAAATAGAAGCTAAAGATAAGACAAGCCCCTCACAACTATGGACTTGAATAGCTTTGAAAACACACTGCTAAGCCAGGAGATTACTAGGCTGTATGAGAATCCTAGCATTTTCAGAGAGATAACTGTTCTTTCTGACAAAAGAGAAAAAGAGAAATGTAATTATTCCTTCACTTACTACAGTTGGGTAGCTCACATAAGCTACGGCATTGATTGACATTTACTAAACACAAAGACCTGTTCGTCTAAAACTTAAAGGTTTTTCAATTTTATAACACTATTTCCACAAAGAGATGCAAGGCAATTAAATACAGAGCGAAACAACACGTAGTGAACTCCTTAACTGAATGTCTTACGGTGTTCTTTGGAGTGCGTTCAGATGCAATGGTCACCAGCTCGTCTATGCTGTATGTGATCGCCTCTGTCTGAACCACTCTTCGGTCATTTGCAGGGTGGAAAAATGCACTGTTTGCTAGTTGAAAAACAGAGAAAAACAGAACAAACACGATAACGTCAGTAGAGAGACGATTTTGAAAGTAGTCCTTACAACTCTCACTTTTGTCATCTTTTTAGCGAGGTCCGAGGTGAGATGACGAAGGTCTACATGGTGACAAAAGGAAAAACAAATTCTGATTATACCACTGGAGCGATCGACTTAAGTTACAGGAAATGAGCAGGAGGAGAATGCCATGGCAAAAGAACAACTAAGCTACTTATTTATCTGTATGGAAAACAGCAGCGTAAGATACAGACTATCCAACAAGTTTGAATCTGGGACAGGGGTGCATTTTTTTTTCAATATATACAGAAAGTGACCAGCAAGCATCTCTTAGGGATTGGACTCTGAAAAAAAGAGAAGCAGTAGCTAGGCGTTTGAACAGAAAAGATAATGTGATGTTAATAAAACCTACAATTTCAAAAAGTCAGTTTTTTGCAGGATACCTTCAGTATTTCCCTTTTGTTTTAATGCTATTTGTTGCCAGACATGTCTATTCAAATCAAGCTGCTAGATAGTTTCTATACCTCCAGATTTTTTCTGTCACATACCTTGGACCTGCTGGACACACTGCAAGGCATAGTTGAGAGCACTGATAGTACTGGGCTTGCTGGAACTCCTTTTTTCTTCAGGCAAACACCTTTTAATTTCTTGGATCATCATCATCATCCTATCTCTGTGTGACTGGCTCCAATTCAGCTGTTCACTGTACAAAAAAAAAAAAAAAAGAGGTTAAACTTCACTGAGGAATTTTGGTATAGGAATTATCTTTCTGATGACTTCTTAAAATTAGTCACTGAACTGCTGCCTCATGGACTTGGCCTCAAGCTCACAGACGCTCCGGAAGAGTTCTCATGCTTCCTCCTCCCTATATTTCTTCTTGCACCTTTCTCACTTCTGTGCTATTTAGTCTCTTTTCCTCTACCTTTCCTCTTTTCCAATTCCAACATGACATGGATGGCAAAGGCACATCTTAACCAACCTGCTTGCTAAGATGCTGTGAAATTTAAACCTAACCTCTTGATCCCTGCTTGTGAATGAACGGTGACAAAAATTGCAACGTTCACCTCAGCAACATTAGCAACTAAAAACAAGCTGATATTTAATCGAGACCTTCTAAATCTCACTAGTATTATAGGCATGCATAGGTTCTGATTCTTTATGTATGCAAGTCCTAGCCTTGAAGTCAGCATCTGATAATAAGCAGCACTTCACGGATACGTGAAGTTCTCAAAATACACCTGATGCAGAGATTTCATCCCTCCCATGATTTAGGGGTCTTCATTATATCTGTAACAGAGCCCTTCACCAACAGCTGCAATGTTATTAAGAAGCAAAATTTCACTCTCTGTTTTTGCTTATCTCACTGGCTAAAACATAAGCAGTAAACATCCTCAAAATGCTGATCAATTCTAATCCTACAGCTGCGATATGAACACAGTTACTTCAGCTTTTGTCCATTCATCATTCTTTAATATCATAATATAACCATGTAAGTGACTAAAAAGGTTGAAGTACAATGTGTAAATTTTACATGCAAGTTCCACACCACAGAAATGATTGCGTTTGAACTGCTTCATTTATTTATTTTAGAAGTGCTGCATTGAATTTCTGAACACTCTGCAAGAGTACTACTAAAGTTATTTCTGCTGTACTACTGTTAAATACAGTCTTTAGATTAAGTATATTTAGAAGCTACAAAAGGGTTGATGACGCACCTGGATCAGCCAATCTAAGAATTAGACAAACAGCTTACGAAGAATCACGTAGCAGTAATCTAATCTACATCTGAGACCATTACAAATATTACAGTTGGGGATTCAGGTAAATGTCCTTGGTCTACTAAAAGAAGTGAGCCCTATGAACAACTCCCTGGATGACAGGAGTAGCAGATCCGTATGAAGCAACGTAGGACAGCCAGCTCTGTATGCTGTTGAGAGTTACCTGTTAATCTTGCTTTGCCTCCTGAAACTTCCAGCTGGGCTGCCATTTGGCTCATGGCTGCAGAAATCACTTCCACTGGATTTTGGTCCATTGAACTCTTTCCTACTGCAGTTTGTTCCCGTACACGTCCTGGAATACATCTTTGCATCGTCCTGATGTCCTTCCTCCTGCTTCCCTAAATCAGCAGGGTTAAAGGCCTCCTTTTGCTCGTTTGCAGTGCCAGCAGTGGCAGTTGCTGACCAATTCACACTGTGTTCTGAGCTGCTGCCTTGAAGTTTGTTCAGGCTCATCTCTGGTCAGCAAAATTTGACAATGCAGGGACACTGAACACCATAGCCTGGCTCCGCAACAAGTTCAGACCCCTCTGTTTTCCATACAGGAGGTCGATCTCGTGACTCTTCTACAGGAAAAACAAATACTCACCACTTCAAGAAAATACAGGTACATAGCTGAAAAGCAAACTCACCCTTCCAGGCTGAAAAGGCCTTCTATTCCAGATTTTTTCAGATTCCTCCAGATTTCCAGTTTTGTTTTTTTACTCTCTAGTAACTGTTCTCCCTCTGTTTGCGGTAACCCGACCCCTCTAACGCACTAAGAGCGCGCAGAAGCCGACGTCCGCGAGGGTTCATCCAGGGCGGCTGCTGCCCGGGC